CTCCTGTTGATGACACTAGATGGCCCAAGTATTCAATGGAGGCCTGGCAAAAATAACACTTGGACAACTTGACAAAAAACTGGTGTGAGGCTAAACAAGATAGAACCTGCTCCAAATGAACTGCATGGTCAGTAAGTGTAGTGCTATAAATCAGGATATCATGAAAAAAAAAAAAACAATGACAAATTTGCGTAAGAAAGCAGCAAAAATTTGGTTCATTGTCGCTTGAAACGTCGATGGTGCGTTTGTCAACCCAAAGGGCATGACAAGGAACTCATAGTGTCCCTCATATGTGCGGAAGGCAGTTTTGTAAATGTCGCGAGTATGGACTCGAATTTGATGGTAACCGGCCCGTAAGTCAAGCTTGGTAAAAACCGCAGCACCCCCGAGTTCATCCAATAGCTCATCGATGGTAGGAATAGGGAATTTATCCTTGAGAGTCACGGCATTCAAGGGCCGATAATCTACACAAAAACGGTAGGTTCCGTCTTTCTTTTTCACCAACAGGACCGGAGAAGAAAATGGGCTAGTACTCGGCCGAATGATACCTTGTGCTAGCATCTCTCGAATGAGTTTCTCCATTTCATTTTTTTGAAAATGAGGGTAACGGTACGGCCGGACATTAATAGGGTTGGTCTGTGGGGATAAGTGAATTTTATGGTCAATGAGGCGGTGGGGTGGTAAGTTGGTCGGTGGAGTGAAAATACCAGTATAATTATGAAGGATAGTGAGGATGGTTTCGGGTAATGATGCGGGAAACTCAATTGGAGAGACGTCAGCCGTGGCCTCCTCAGGATGCTCTGCGACAGGAGTGGAAGTCATCTCAAAAAGACTGAAGATACAGTCACTGTGCATCAAGGCCTGCAATTGGTGGAGGGTAATTTTACTCGGTACAGTAGCCAAATCCCCACGAAGGAGCACCTATTTTCCCTGCCAGCAGAATTCCATAGACAGGGCTGAATAATCATGGGCCACCCTGCCTAGTTGCTGTAACCATTGAATGCCAAGGACCACCTCCGGGCCTTCAATAGGTAGGACAAACAAATCCAAGGTAAATGCATTACCCTGGAGAGATAGAGCCACCTGAGGGCACACATATTGGCATAGTAAATAATCAATGTTACCAATATAAACTCGAAATTTGGCCGTGGGTTGGATGGCAAGCCCCAGGCGTTCAGCCACTGCGGGTTTCACAAAATTATGCGTGCTTCCGCTATCAATAAGGACGTGAAACTGATTGTGTCATATCTCGCCAAGCAAGCGTAATGAGGGTGGGTTGTCCTGGCCTTCCAGAGCATTCAAGCTAGAAATATCACCGGTAACACCCTCATCTTCTGGTTCTAATAGAAAAAGGTCATCCTCTGGGGTATCGGTCTCATCATCTGTCCCTAGGAGTATCAGGTATTTGCTGCGGCATCGATGATGGACACTATACTTTTGGTCACAGTTATAACATAGCCCTTTTTCCCTTTTTTTACGCAATTCTGCCGGACTAAGGCGACGAATTGGGAGATTTGGTGTGGGTAATAGGGGTGGGGCAACTGGGGAAGGAGCCATGTGGTTAAAGCTTGGGGTCCCGTGTTGGGGGGCCCAGGTTGGGTTTGTTTGGGAGGGACGGATGAGGTCCGGGCAGATGGTGTGTATGGTAATTTAGAGGACGGGGAAGGCAGCCATTTGGAGGTGGAGGGTGATCAGAACGTGGGTGTAATCTCTTCATTACGTGCTTTATACGCCCGAGCTAAAGCAAAGGCCTCCATCAAGGTGGCTGGCCGGGAAAACAACAATTCCCGTCGGATCGAAGGTTTGAGACCCGTAATAAAAAAACTAACTAACAAGGGCTCAGAAATTCCAGTAACCCTATTCATCAATTCTTCAAATGCGGACTGAAATTCGGCAACGGAAGCAGTCTGAGTAAGTTTAGAAAGGTTACCTTGATGGTCTTCGTACATAGAAGCACCAAATCGATGTTTCAGGTTGAGCAAGAACTCACTCCAAGTGGTCAGAAGTCCGTTGGCCTTCATCCATTGATACCATACAGCGGCTCGCCCATCCATATGAAAGGACGCAATGCGGAGGCGGATCGACTCCGGCGTGCCGTGGAAATCAAAGAACTCCTGAATACGAAATATCCACCCCGTAGGGTCAGAACCGTCAAAGCGTGGAACCTCCATCTTCAGCGAACGCAAGAATAGAGCAATGTCAGTGCCCCCCGCCGAGGCCTCGAACGATGGTGGCCCAGGAGGTGCTGGGCTAGACGAACCCGCCGGAGACCCCGAGAATCTGGCAAGGTGAGAACGTAAGTCCTCCATACGCGAGTCCACTGTAGTCATGAATTGCTGCAAAGTCTGGTGGAAGGAGAGAGTTTGACCTTCCAGCTGCGCCTGAAGCGCCTTGACTGCAGAAACCAGATCGGAATCCGCCATTAATCATAGCAATGAAAGCACCAATGATACGCCTAAAAATCTGCAAAAGAGATCTATCAGGCAATTTAACGAACACTCTTCGAGCGAGTGCCAGCTCCAGAGGAATCGAGAGAAAATGAGGGAAAATTCAGAACTAGTAAAGAAGAAACGGGGTGGGAGAATGAAAAGAATTCTCTATTTTCTTCATACTCAACCATTACATTCTGCAGTATATATCCTACCTTACTCGGGAAAAGGAATTCCGTTACAACCAGCAACCAAGAGAAAGAATCAAAAATGCAAAAACAGAAAGATAGTGAACTTCGAGGCTAACATCAATCCCGAAGCATGTATTAACACGCTCGTAGCATTCCCACTCCAAACGACGCCTTTCCTCTCTAAACGACATAGTCGTTTAACCAAGTTGGCACTCGTCTAATTCTTCCTGAATGCAATCTGGTTTTCCCCGTGGACAGGACTTGTTGGGCCACCTCTTCTTCAGCTTGTCTTTTGGATTGGGCCACCTCTTCTTCAGCTTGTGCGTTGGGCTTTATTGCTGTTGGGCCTATATCTAGAGGCAGTGTCGTATCAACATCTCATAACAAAAATCCCACATCTAATATTTAGTCCTCCAATATGTTTTGCTATTTAATTTGATTTTGAATTTTGGGTCTCTGATCTAGGTAGGAGGGTTGGAGGGCAAGAGAGTTTTTTTTTTTTCTTCTCAGTTCATGAGTTTACGCTTTCTTTTTCTTTTTGTTGTCCTTTCCTTTTAAAAATATAAAAATACCTTTGCCTTGGGATTTTACTAAAATTTCTTTTTTTTATAAGATCACATACTTTGTACATGATCAATTCTGTTAAAAAATTAACAAAACTAGACGGATAGGACTTAATTGTACTAATTTAATGACATTGTAGAATATTTGGCCAAAATGAAAAGAACAAGGACCAAACTATACTATTAAAGAGGTTATGGATCATCCATGTCGATTACCTTATTTGCCTGAATTTTTTCAGGCTCGGCGAGTAGGCACTATTGTCCACCCGTCCAGCGGGGAAGCTCGGGCTCAGGTAGCCCGAAAAAAGTGATTTGGATGAAGCCCGCTGACCGTTCAAACCACTAAGCCTGAAGCTCGCCTAACGGCTCTTTGTTTGACCGTTATGCCCCACCCGACCCGCCGCCCGAGAAGAACGGCTATATTTTTAGTAATTGCCCAAAAGCCAGCCCGACCTGAATTTCAAAAACTAGTCGTTGGACTCGATTTTGCACTCAAAAATTGATTTTTTTAACCCAACAATTTTGCTATAAATACTCCCCCTCCCCCAAACATTTTCTTAATAAAATTTCTCATATTCTCTCTCAATCCCTCTTAATCTATCTCACTTTTATCTCAAATCTCTCTCACAATTTTTCCACAAGCTCACACAAAATCCTAAAGCTATCTCTCAATGTGCTCTCATTTGAAGTCTCAAAACTCTTTTCAACTTCAAGCTCTCTAATAGATTAACATTTCGTTTTGAAAACGATAATTTAGCTTCAAATTAAATTGTAATTTCTAAATATTTATTTGCTTTGAACATTATAATTGTAATATTTAGATTTTGTAATTTTGTAAAATTTGTAATTTGTCACGAAATGATTGTACTCTTTTTTCTTTACCAAGTTTTTATCTCAATTAGGTTTTTTTTGGTAAGGTTTCTAACAAGCCAATCATGAATTACAAATTTAAAAATTAATAAACAATTCTAATTTTTTGAATTGATTTGTTTTAATAGTGTCTGTTTATTTTAATCTTAATTATAATTTTAATATAATTTATACAATAAATAATTTAATAATTATTTATATACAAATATAATTAATAAACAATATTATATATAATAATATATATAATATTAAAAAAATATAAAAAAATTCGGGCAGTCCGGGCGGGTTCAAGCTGTCCGACCGAACTTCGGGTAACTAAGACATGTCCGAAGCCCGTTCAAAGATAAATTCGAGTTCGGACGGGCAACCCAAATTTCTCAAGTAGACAGGCTCAAACAACATATACAAATTTAATTTTGGGAGAAAGAGAGAAATATACCAAGACTTGAGATGAATTAAAATTAATAGGCCAATAGTTTACATAAGTTAATAAATAGGCCAAATTACTGTTTTCGTTCATAATTTGTCTGGTTATGAACTATAACTTGACAAGTTATTATCCATAATTCACAGTTTTTGTTCATAACTTGTCTGGCTATGAATCATAACTTGACAAGTTTGTCCATAACTTATCTGGTTATGAACCATAACTTGACAAGTTATAACCTATTAATTTTTATAACTAAAAATTAGCCTATATACTTTTTTAAGCTTTTCATATTAACCTATTTCTTACTATTTTCGTTTAATTTTTTAAATAATCACGGACAGTCGGTCTAAAGTTGTAGTACTAAACACACCCATCGAAAGTGTTCAGCTATACCTCAAAAAAAAAAAAAAAAAAAAAAGTTTTCAACTATACCGCTATACGACGTTGTCTTCGTGTCGTTCAGAAGTTCAACCATCCACAAGTGTCTTTTTTCTTTTTTAGTTACGTAGCCTCTATTCTCATGATCCCATGACCATCTCATTCCACACCACCATCGCTATCTGCATAGAAAGGCTTCCGAAAAACCAGCCATGGAATTCCCGTTCCACTCAAAACCCTAATTCCCCATAAATCACTCAACTTTTCATGGCCTCCGTATCCAAACCTCCTTCTTCTTCATCCTCACCGCCATCCCCGACACCGCAGGAGAATCTCATCGCCTGACAATCAATCAATTATTCAATCAACCTCTCTCTCTCTCGCCGCCATGGACGCGCGTCGGAGCTCGCGAGCCGTCAGCGACCCCAAGGTCCGCCACGTTGGCTTCTTCACCCCCAACGCCCCGCCCCTCCCCAGCCGAACGCAGTCCGGTCCCCCGGCCGCCGGCTCTCCGCCGCTATCCGAATCTCCGGCGAGCAATTCGTTCTCTCCAGTGATGATTCCGCCGCCGCGTCATCTCTCCGATGTCGCGGAGCGTACGGCCGCCGTGCCGGTTCCGGATTCGGCGTACCGGCGAACGGCTGCCGGGGACCACGTTCCGGTCGGGAGCTACAATCCATCGGAGTCGCTGCTCGGGACCTCGCCCGTGGCGTCGCCGTCGAGTGTGGCGGGCGATGGAGAGTTGGAGTTCTCGGGGGAGTCTTCGGCCAGCTGGCATCGGTGGAGGGATTCTGGAAAGTTCGCTTCGAGCTTTCCTAGCGGCGGATTCGAATTGACGATGGCGAAGGGATCGGAGAATTCGGCCACCAAGGGGAAGAATTTGGCGGCGGCGTCCAATGCAAAAAAGCCTCTTGACGTGCCTGGTAATATTGATTGCTTTTAGTCTTTTCTATGTTTATTTACTGAATTGGAAATAGGATCTGATAGTGATTTTTTATTTGCTTGTTATTGGAGCACTGGAGAATGGAATGAACATCGATTTGTCCTTGTAAAAAGTGATGTAGTCATTATTTATAGTTATTAACAACGATTTGACCTTGTATATAGTCATTGTTTATAGTTTGCAATGACAAATTTTAATGCAAATAGTGATGGCTTGCTAAAACTATAAATTGGTATGCCTACGAAGAGAAAAGTGCTTGAGAAAGACTTGATTTTGAAAGAGTTGAACTACTCTGTTTGATGCGTTCAAAGTTCAATTGGCCATAGTTCTAGAGATGGATGAATTTCGTTAGAGATCTAGTGAAGATTGAACTATTATTGTGAATTTTAATGGGTGAGTATATGGAAACGGCAATAGTTAAATTGTTATTTTATGTTAAGGTTTGTAGGATTTGGTAGGAGAATATTGAATCTGTTTTGGTTTTTTTATCCTGCTTTCTGCGATATTTCTTTTGGAGACTTTGCTCGCATTGTTTAATTGTTAAGTTCTTGCAGAAAAGAGTGGAGGGGTTGTCACAGAAGTGCAGAATGAGCTCCAACCTACTTCAAAACCTTTAAAAGCTAAATCAACCAAGGCTGAAAGACGAGCATTACAGGAGGCTCAACGTGCTGCAAAAGCTGCCACGAAAGGTTCCACTTTTTTTCTCTTTGGCGCACTGTAGCCACTGTTCGTGATTAATTTGTCAAACTATGCATTACCTTCAATGTTTCCCGCACTCATTAGCCTTCGATTTCCTTGGTTGAGTATTTTACATGTCTCATTGACCACCGTGAGAAACATTTTCTTTCTCAATTGAATATTTAAATTATTTACTGGTGATGAATAGAGTAGCGATTTATGCTGTCTAAATTGGATTAATCATGATCAAAAGCATACAATTAAACGCGGGTAAGACTTTCAAGAGTTGACAATTCTGTTTTTTCTTTCCCTCTATCCAGGCAACTCTTATTACACATTGATTAAATTTGTTTGAGCAACATAAAACAATCTACAACTCACTACAACATGCATATGATGCATTTTTTGTTTTGTGTATCTTGAACTTTCTGGTGGCTTTTCAAGTATATTTTGTCTGTTTAATTCTGTGAGACATTGATCAAGTACAAGAGTAATCATAAACTGTTGTGTAGTGTCTAATTTAGTAGATGAACTTATTTACGTTGACTATGGCTTAGTGTTTGCGCCTTTTCATTTCCAAAATTAATTATTATTTGGTGCCAAGGATTGTATGCATTTTGCATGTCGTTTTACGCCATGCGTTCAGTTAGATTGTATATTATGCTCAATGTTAGCAATCTGCATCTTTTGATGTGATTACACATTGTTGTAAGCTAGCTGCTTGTTCACAGCTGGACTCCTTTAATATCACCTGCTTATGCTTCTTTGGTCTCCTTGATCGGAACTTTATTGCAGAAGGAAGTAAATCTGCTACTGTATCTCGGGGAGTTGCTCCTAGTAAACCTGTAAAGCAGCCTTCACAGAGGAAAGATGCTTCTTCAGTTGCACCTTCAGTGGCTGCTTCAGAGAAGAAAGGGGGTGATCGTGCACCAGAGAAAGAAAGGAAGAAAGATGTTCCTCCTCCACGGATGCAATTTGATGATAAGAACCGAGTGGAGAAGGCAAAAAAGCGTTCAGTGTTCCATCAAACCGAAGCTAGAAATAGAGTTGAATTGTTTCGGCATTTGCCCCAATATGAACATGGAACTCAACTTCCTGATCTTGAGTCGAAGTTTTTCCAACTGGAGCCTATGCATCCCGCTATTTACAAGGTATTACTGGTGCCTGGTGGTTAGGCTTGGAAAATATAAGTGGTAAATTATATTCTGCTTTATGAAATTGACTTTCTCATTCAAATAGTCACAAGAATGGAAATATATTACTCACTTTATGAATACAAACTTCAGTTTAACTCTCGTCACGTATATGAGAAAACAACGAGCTGGCATCAGTCTAATGAAATTTTCTGACTTGTGAATGTTGTTTCAATGTCAATCGGTTGCATGCTCAATGCATACAAAGAAACATAAAACAGTTGTTTTCGAGTGTTAACAAAAATTTCACTTTCATGACTTATGTTTTTCCCTTATATTGTTTTGCAAGTTTCCTATTTATATGAAATGTTTTAATAATGGAGGATTTTAATTTGAAAACATGGACTGATCTGTAAACTGCTAAGTTCATGTTTTAGCAGACTTTCTGCTGGCAGTAGTATACGTAAGTATTTTGTTTGTACCATAACTAAGAACATGATGAATGCAATGGGACATGAATGAATGAAGTATTGCACCTCTGAACAGTAGATGTGAATGGTGGTAAAGTAATATCTTACCCATTTGAATGTTTTGAAAGAAGAGAAAGATGTGTCATTGGCTCCATTACTGATATATGATTTGATATTTGTCAGGTTGGATTGCAGTATTTGGCAGGAGACATTTGTGGGGGTAATGGTCGTTGTGTTGCCATGCTCAAGGCATTTGAGGAAGTCATTAGAGATTATTCCACTCCACCGGAGAAAGCTCTTTCCAGGGATCTGACTGCCAAAATCAGTAGTTACGTTTCATTTTTCACAGAATGCAGACCAATTTCTATTAGCATGGGAAATGCAATTAGGTTCATAAAGAGCCGTATTGCCAAGCTACCGCTATTTCTATCTGAATCAGAAGCAAAAGCTGCACTTTGTGCAGATATTAACTCTTTCATAAATGAGAAGATATTACTTGCTGACAGGGTGATAGTAAAGCATGCTGCTTCAAAGGTTAAGGATGGGGATGTGCTTCTCACATATGGATCATCGTGCGTGGTTGAGATGATTCTGTTACATGCCCATGAGCTTGGGAAACAATTCCGTGTTGTGATAGTAGACTCGCGTCCAAAGTTTGAAGGCCAAGCGCTACTTTGTCGATTGGTGGCAAAGGGATTGAGTTGTACATACACTCATATAAATGCTGTTTCGTATGTGATGCATGAAGTGACTAAAGTACTTTTAGGGGCTGCCTCAGTGTTGTCAAATGGAACTGTGTATTCTAGGGTTGGGACTGCATCTGTTGCTATGGTTGCCCATGCATTTTGTGTTCCAGTATTGATCTGCTGTGAAGCTTATAAATTTCATGAAAGGGTACAACTTGATTCGATTTGCTCTAATGAACTAGGTATGTTCTTGTGTAAGGATAAAAACAACTGTTCATTCCTCCTGCTGTTAATTCTACCTTGTTTTTCCCTTGAATGATATTGAGAAAGTTCAAATTGCTTATAGGTGACACTGATGCTATAGCGAAGGTTCCCGGAAGAATGGATGTGAATTATCTAGAGAATTTGGCTAAGAAGGAAAATCTGCAACTTCTAAATCTAATGTACGATCTTCCTTACTGCATCATATGAAGGAGAAGAAAATCAACTTTGTTTAAGATAGTTCTGATGACACTTCTTGTTTTGTGTTTTGTGACAGGTATGATGCTACTCCATCAGATTATGTCTCAATGATTATTACAGATTATGGCATGGTAAGTTATTATGATATTTTCATTCAAAATTGAGGTTTTCTTTTCTTTTTTTTGTTTTGTTTTGTTTCTTTGGTTTTTTTTTTTTTTTTCCAACCAAGAGGCGTGGTAGGAGATACAAATTACAATTACTAATTCTGTTCTTACATCACATTGCCATCTGTGGTTACTATTAAGGAAGGATAAATACTTTTAGATGATTAATTGGTTAACACTAATATCATCTCACGCTTATCTTGTTGAAATCCAGTATTGGTTATTATTTAGATCTTTGAAGATCATTATTTAGGTGAAGTTTTAGATGATTAATTAGCTAATGCTAGTAACATGCTATAATGACCTTATTGGTTTCAACGTGTTGAAAGAATATTTGTTACTAGTAATTGTCACTAACAAGTATTTCTACACCATAATAAAAATTAATAATAATATGATGGTGGTTGCATGCTTAGCCTTTGCTATTTCCAAACCCACCTCTAAATGCGAGTATTGACTAGAACGACAATTAGAATGTGCAAACATTTTGCACGTATGGACAATATTTCTGCATGCTAATTGCAGCTTTTTGATATTTTCATCCATGATATTGATTTCTCATGAATGAAATGTAAAGCAGCAAGATACTCATGATCGTCCATCCTAGAGATGCATGTCAATGCTTAATGGTAGAATCAGGATATTTGGATGCGTGAGAATTTTTGGCTCACAGTTTTTACGTTTTTCTTTTCCTTGTCATTGTAGATCCCACCAACAAGTGTGCCCGTCATTGTACGCGAGTATCGAAGAACGCAGTTATGGTTGTAAAAAGCTCAGATTAAACCTCACAACTGGAGGAATAAGATTTTAAGCCTGGGGGAATTTTTCATAAGAGCTGGTGGTTTCATGTTGGGTATAGAACTCGAGAAAATTTTACATGTCGGCTTTGAGTTTCTCTAACCATTCTTTTTCTAGCAGATTTTTATCTTGTTTATCAATATTCAAAGTGGCTGGGGTTTAGATTTTTCTTTGATGAACGACTCAGGGGAAGAGTGCTTCTTATTGCCTCTCCTAACAGTTTTTGAGGTTCTCTCGTCAATTTTGTGTTACTCTTGATTTTCAAGTTTTCCACATAAAATGATAGATTCGTATAAATTTTAATCGTCCATGATGGTAAACAGTTTGATCTTTTGTCGGATAAAGTTGATCATCTTCCATTCATTATTCAGTGATCATTCATTTTGGTACAGAGCTTTGAATTGATTCGACTTTAATGTACAAACAAACAAAATGGGGTGTACGGCCTCTAAATCTGTGATAAATGTTCAAACAATCACAACTTTACACATCACCGATATGATGTCATGAGGTGTTCCCAGCTTGATGTAGCCCACCGGTTGAAAGGAGCTCACTCACCGGTTAACCGAATCCACCTTTGTCCGGACATATTCCACCACTCAACTGGACATTGCAGACCAGTCAAATTGCACGACATTATCCCTATATTTTAATTTCAAATTTTAAGTTTATTTTGTTATTTTGATATTTCCTTTTTCCAGATAAGGTTGATTCTGCTTTCAAATAGGATGTAGTTTCCTTTTATTTGTTTTGAAAGCCTATTTAACAATATTGATAGGTTTATTATCATTTTCAGTTTTGGTATTGCTATTAAAAACCAGAAAACTTTCTCTACAGTTTGCTTCTTCAATATTGATTCGAATAAATGATGAACATGCACCCTTATTTCCCTTTATACTTCGAGAATCAACAGACCACAAGTTTATCATACCCAGTGTCTACGTACGTACATATACGTCATTCAAATTTTTCTTTGGTACATCATACGTGCTTATTGTGCCAGCATCCTTCACTTTCACTACCCTCTATTAGGGTCATACAAACATGATTTCCCCCCGTGGACCTAGGAACACAAGGTCTCTGTATCTAACTAATTAAAAAGTTATCATTATCATCTCCACTAATAAACAGCATTTTTCAACAACAACAACAACAACAAAAAAAAAAAAAAAAAAAAAAAAAACCCCCCCTTAGCTTTAGAGAGGGCTGCCAATCTGAGTAGCGACACGACGACACGACTCGAGACCCACACGAAGTTAGCGGGTTTGGATTTACTATAAATGGGTGTGAGTCATAATCGGATTGACATGATTATCACGATTAATAAATGGATTGAGTTAGGGTTGACCTTCTAACACGAATTGACACGATTAACAATATGTGTCATCTATAATATAATGATATGTGATATAATATGAAAGTTTATGAGACATTAAATATAAAATAATGTGAATTTTAATATTTGTAGGTAAAATTCATTTATTTTTCATAAAAGAAAAGATAAATTAACTAATAAACATGTTAAATATATCTTGACCGTATTAAATAAGTCATTATTATATTATTTGTTTATTCAATATATTAACTTTTCATAGGTTATACGGGTTGACACCATTAACACGATTAATAAATGAGTCGTGTTTGAGTTGATATTTTTGACATATTTAATAAACATGTCGTGTTTAAGTTAATATTTTTTGAAACGATTAATAAACCAGTTGACACGAACACGACCCACTAATACGAATTGCCATCCTTAGCTTTGAATGCATTTCTCACTATTGTCGCTCGCTCAAATAAGGAAATAGCACTAATTGACTACTTCCCTGTCTGATTAGGGTTGTCTCAAATTTGATATGTACATTCAAATATGGAAAAACTTCACCAAATACATACACAACATAATAAATATTTAAATGATGAACACATTTATTCCTCAACTTGAGGAAGTCAAAAAGTAGCAATATGGAGATGTGACCTCAGTGGTAGTCATATCCTCCTTGGCTTATGGTCAATTGTGTTACAATTACAGCTTCTTGAGTACATCTTCAAGTTTTGTGCCTTTTCTACTTACTTTTGTTTCCTATCTGAGCTAATCTACTGTTATCGGTAGCAGCAGCTGTTGCCAATTCCATTAATCTTTCATAGTCTATTTCAGTTGACTTGAATTTCAATTTCATTCCAGCTAGAATCCATGACCTGACGCAAAGGAGAGCTTGTGTGCTGTCATGAGGCACACAGAGGCGCTGCTTGTCGATCTCATCGCCTTTGCCACAAAATATTTCTTCAGGTACCAATGAAGTTGGTTGCATAGCCAAAAAGTCTCGAGCCATCATGGAAAGTCGTGGGTACCGAGTACTATTGACCTTCCACCAATCTAGAACATCCGTTGGTATTGGAGCCGGAGACTCTGATAGATATTGAGTGAGCTCATCAGTGGCACTACTCATGCTTGCCCTTCGTTTCTTTCGTGCAATTTCCTCTGCGAACGAGACACTACCCCCATCTTCAATATCTTGAGTGCCATATCCACTAGTCATAGATGGGAAATGGCTAGTCGAATAATTTCTTATGAAATGGGATCGTGCTTCCTCGAGAAAATTCTCATTGCTGAGGTTCTCGGGAATTAGTTCTCCTTTGATTCGAGGATCCAGAATTGCAGTCATGTAAGTGAATATGTTGCAGACCTGGTTATTATAACTCCTGGCCTTTTTGGCCATGTCTTCGGCAGCATTCTTCAGCCAGTCTGGATAATGACGAGCTTCTCTGCAGGCAGCAATCATCTCGGAGATGTGATCCATGAAGAAGAGAACCAACCCAATGGTGGGCACCTTGTTTGTGCAGATATTGTTTGTGGTTTTGTAGAAGGGTTCCAGATATTCATGGACAACACTGATTGCGTTTTTTTCAGCAGAGCTCAGTAACATCCTACTGCCTAGCGTCTCCTCATACTTCCTGATAACAGCATCCATAGACTTGCTGGCCTAAATAAAATCCTAGGCCATATTTAGTCAGACTCGGTAAATTCAAAGCCTAAGTAGTAGAACAATTATTAAGATAATGTAATACACAAAGCTTCGTCATTTGAGACGCCCTAAAAGATAATAGTAATGCAAACGAACTGTATGTTACATTCAATATTGGATGCATTAAAAACTAATCAAGATGCATACGTAAGCTATAGATATCACAAATTGCATGATTGACAACAAGAGGCAATACTAGTATTTTATTGGATTCGGCCATTCGGGTGAGTTCACGAGGGTGCAGTGTACCAGATGTCGATTTTCATGCAACAGTAAAAAACATCAATAGGAAAGAGGATATTATTGTAATGTACATATCAAACTAGTGTTTTAGTCAAATGATGCATAGTGCACATATAAGCAAGCTTGTATAACATGCATATTTCAAAGCAGAGTGCTTAGAGCCCGACAGCAAGTACCTTTTTGACAATATCAAGCATCTGATAGTTGCCACTCCATCGTGCTGAAGCATCGAGTGGAAACTTCCAACTACCTTCTTGACAAGCTGCTGCTAATTGAATAAAATCCTCAGAGATTTCTGGGGATGCATTTAACCCCAGTACAAACTCCCGAATCTTAGAGATTATTGGTTTCATCGTTCTTAACCCATCCTCGATGATCAAATTCAAAGAACGAGCTGCACAGGGAATATAACAGAAGGACCCCAATTTTTGAGTATCCAAATCCTCTTTCAAACTATGGCAGGCATGGATGGCACTTTGACTGTTATCATGAGTGCAAGAAAGGACTCTATTCTCAATGTTATACATCTTAAGGATCTTTACTAGGGAGTGATAGATCTCAGCACCCCCACAAGGATAAGGTACGTAACAGATATCGAGTAACACCTTTTGGAACGACCAATTTTCGTCGATCCACTGACATGTTACACTCATGTAATATATCTGTTCATAGGAAGTCCAGAAATCAAGTGTGATGGAGATCCTAGAAGAAACATGCACCAAAGATGCCCTTATATCTTCCTGCATGCTCCTGAATACTTCGTGAAATACTGCTTTATACTTGTCACCTGGCCAAAGTTGAATCAATGGATTCAAGAACTTATAGGAGTTTGCTAGCCATCTTTCTTCCAATGTCGAAGGAGGCAAAGCTGCTACAATAAGCCACTTAACGAGCAACCAATTCAAATGATCATAATCCACTTGAGATGTTTTCGCTTGTGACTGAGGTTTCTTGGCAACAGTTACTGCTACAGGCTGTGGCGTGGAATTAGTGACAGTGTCCCCTGACTTATCATAGCCTGGATGTCGATTACTAAGGTGTCTTCCCAAGTTACCTTCACATAGAGAAGATTAGTGAATATGCTGTATGACAGATGAAAGACTAGATCTGTAGCTAGACAACATGGGACCGACTTTCGTTCACCACAAGCTTAGAATTTTCAAGTTATTGCGAGTGGTATGATCAATATAAATGATAGACCATAGGCAGAGAGGTTACCAGTTGCAGTAGCAATAGAATAACTCTGTCCGCAAAATTTGCAGCGGCGACTTTTTCCATCAGGAGCAGTCTCAAAGAACTTAAGATAGACTGATGTCATCGTCTTTTTTCTTGGTTTTACTGAACTTACAACGTTCGGCTTCTCTGAAGAACCCAATCCAATATCTACCTGATCAATCGGAATGACTGCCATGTCCATCATAGATTTTGGTTCCATATCTACACCAGGAATAAAAGCAAGTCACTCTCATGGATTTCACTCAGTGTGGAAAAGTGAAATCCATATAGCCGACCCCAATTAGTTGGGATTAAGGCTTGTTATTTGTTTGTTTGTTTGTATCTACACCAGGAATAAAAACAGAAAAAAATTACCAGGGACTCACAAAAATAGATTCTTTAAGGTTTGAAACCATAAAGCATCATTTTTTGTATTGAAAACCAATACGCAATATCTAAGATACAAAACAATAACAATAGTTCAATCCTAACATCGTATCAGTTGAAACTAAAGCAACATTTTCAACATATATTCCTATTAAGAACCAATCAAAGTTTCACAAGAAAATTGAACACCAAAAAAGGGAGTAAAACTTTACAAACTAGTGAATCACTCTTACAATCCAATACTTGAAAAACATGAAGCAAGTCAAAATGCATTGTAATAACCACAATACTAAAAGGACTGTCTTTTTTTCTTCTTCTTCTTCTTCTTCTTCTTCTTCTTTTTCTTAACAAGAAAAGACTAATATATCTCCCATAAACTATCTAGGAATAAAATCCCCCATCAAAACCAAACGAGTAAGCTCAAAAACCTCAACTTTGAGAATGCCTTAATGATAAAATACACTAAATACATTAACATAAGTATGAAATGATGAATCAAAAGGCCAACATTGAGTTGAGACTTGAGATTACCTTTGAAAGTCTTGAAGGTGTTATTATTCACACCCCACTCCATTTGGGTCGTTGTTTTTCCACCCACTATTGCCGCCTGACCATTCCATTCCACAGATTAAGTAAAACCAAGATTTTTTTTCCCTCGGAAAAGCTTAAAATCAACCAAAAATAAAATAAAATAGAATATATAAAAACTGCACATTTCAATCATGAACACACCCAGAAAATAAAAATTAAAACAAGAAAAAAGAAAGAACGCACGCATGAATAAATAAGCTGTAGAGAAAATTCAAGACTTACCCCAAAATTCATGAGAAAATGAAGAACTCCAAGAGGAGACTCCTCCCACCAACTACATCATCCCTGCCAAAGCTCCCAATTCCAAACAAGGAAACCCCATAAAAATAAAAAACAAAAATAGAAACTTAGCTGAGGAAGAGAAGAAACTATAACGTGAGAGTTTCTCCCACAAAATCACAATAAGAAAAGAGAATTCAGAAAAAGAAAATCAGAGAGAGAAAAAGATAGGGAAAATTTTTTTGGAGGGAGAAAAGAAAAACAAAAAAGAAGTTTGGGAAGCGGATCGGCGCTGAAAATAAACAGTGAGCCGGATCAGAGCCGATAAAAGAGTAAGAGAACCAAAGGAAGATTTTTAGATCAGCTTTGGTTTTTTTTTTTTTTTTTTTACTCTCTCTTGATTTATGGGTTTTTTCTTTCTTTTTTTTTTTTTTGGGCAGAGCCGCGAGCGACGCCTAAGACTCAAGACTCAGATCTAAAACTGAGAAAGAAACAAGTTAAAGTAAGCTCAGCTGAGAATCAAACCCATTGGAGTTCCTCGGCTTATATATTTTCTTATTTATTTTTTCTAGAGAGAAAGATTTAGACAGAGAGCGAGTCAACTCCACTCATCACTGAGTGGCTCGGCCGAGTCGGTTCTTTTACTTCTTTTTTTCTTTCTCACTCGTGATTCGTGACCCAACTTTTCTCTTTCTTTTTTTTTTTTTTTTTTAAAAAAACCACTTCTTATCAAGTTTTCTTGTTTTTTTTTTAAAAAAAAGGAAATGTACTTTTTTTTCTTTTTTTTATATGATGCATAGCATATAGTTTACTAACAAAAAAAAAAAAATGAAACTACTATTATATAAATTTTAGACTCACATTCTTTTAGAGTGTGATTTGAGTGTAGTTTTTAAATTGAATTTGAGTTATAATTTGAATTTAAAATTGTAACTTAAATAAAGTTGAATAAAGTTGAAACTTAAAAGAACGTGAACTTGAATAAAGTTGTAACTTGAGTTTAAACTTTTTCTAAGTTTTGTTGTAAAAGAACAACCCCTTAATCACTTAAACTAACTTTAAATTATAAGGAGAATTATATTCAATTAAACAAAAACGTACAAACACCAATATAAATTATCTTAAGCCTCATTCATTTCACCGATTTGAGTTTTCAGTTCTAGGTTTCTACAGTAAAAAGCTCTCAGAAAATGTCACATCTATCTTTTTTTGCTACAGTGAAAAGCTATAAGAAAATATCACATCTCAGCTCGAATTGAAAACTTGAATCTACAAAGTGAATGAGACCATAATTTGTGTGATACATGAAACAAAACTCTCAACTGAAACCATGAAATGAATTAAATTTTGTTAAATTTTTATACATTTTTAATTGGTGAGATTTTAAACTAGGAATAAGCATCGGGCGGAATGAGACCAGGTATGTTTCCTCCGCACCCACCTCCGCTTTCACCTTTGCTCCTTATACCCGTTCTCATACTCACATATTCAGGGCCAAGGTTGTGGTCAAGGAATCTTTATTGGAAAGACTTCTCCTATACTTTGTCCATTTATCCAATAAAAAATATAATGATATTATTAATACTTAAATAAATTGCATCAAATTAAATATAAAATTGATTAATATAACATTAATATCTCATAAAAATGAAACAAGATTAGACTTAGGTTAAACAAAGTTGCCATTTATAACAAGAATTTAGAATTTATTAGGGTTTTTTAAGATGGTAAAATAGTAAAATAGTTTTAAATTTTTTTAAAAAACTCATATTTTTAAGTATTATTATAATAAATAATATATATTTGTATTTAAAATATTTTAAAAATTATATGCATATGTATATGGGGCGAGGGCTTTTAATTCAGGGAACAATATAAATGCAGTGTTTGAAGTTGGTTTTATTTTTGTTTTTCACGTTTTTCAAGAACGAAAAAATGAAAATGAAAGAGAAACGACGTTTGGCACAATTAAAGACAAAAAAATGGAAATGAAAATAATTTTTTGGTATAGTATAAAATGAGAGAGAAATAAAAAACGACTTTTAGTCATTTTTCATTTTTTATTTCTGTTTTCTCATCTCTCGAGCACAGATAAAGATAGACATTATTGATTTTTTATACTGAAAATAATCTCTTAATAAAACTACCAATCACATTTTAAAAAATAATTTTTATCTGAGATTAAAAATATTTTTATTTTTATTTTTATATAAAAAATAAAATTATTTTAAAATAAATTCTAAACGCACTTAAACTCTCATACCCGTCCCATCTCTATTTAATAACTCATATACGTTCTATTTAAGGTGGGTACCGACTGGTGTAGGGTAAAATGCTCATCCCTATTTTAAACGGATCTAATGTTTAAAAATATACGTTTTTGAAATACCCAAAACACACTATTGTTTTGTTTGTTAGTGTGTAGCGGCTAACTGATAAGTGAGAAAAAAATAAGTGGAAAAATGAGTTGAGGCTGAGCTGGGGAGATTGTTGAGCCCCAGGTCTGAACTTAGCTTTCCATTCGGCTCCAACCCACTCACTTTGAATCAAACGTTCAAATTGGACCAACCTAGTTGCAACTTGGAACATTAGTTTCGTGGCTTGTGGAAAGTTTTTTTTTTTCTTTTCTTTTCTTTTCTTTCCTAAAGATTATTTTCACTTTTGGAATAATTTGTATTTACAAATTGTCTATTGAAAGTTAACTAATCTCTAACGATTAGTCCATAGTTCGGATTTCCTATCTATTTGTCAACAAGAATAAAAAAGAAAATCCTTGGGAAAGGGCAAAAAAATATATATTCACAAACCATTTGACTAATAGGTCCGAAACAAAAAAAAAATGTTCGAGCTAGTTTTTTTTTTTTAAGAAATTCTCTTAGAGCCTGTTTAGTTCATGGATTAAAATCATTTTCAATTTACGTGTATTTTTTATGAGAAAAAATACTGTAGCGAACCACGAATCATAATTCGAATCAGGGAACGAATCCCTTTACTAAACGGGCTCTTAATTACCTATTTCATAAAATACTTTTAGTATTTAGGAGAGGCAGAATAGGAGCTATCATGGCCGGATGCTCGATACACTGTCGAGCCTTCGGCCACCAATTGTATCTACAAAGCTCATCGTCATATGCTCAGTTTAAATTGGGGTTCATGCCACCAACGGAAGAGGACATTAGTTGGATCAAATTTAAGGTAAGGATGGGGTGGTTGTCATTGTCTTCTTCCTCAACCTACCCTATGGAGAGTTTGGTATGTGAGAGGAATTGAGTCATCTTGTACTGCGTCCGTGATCCTTTGCCATTGTCGCTTGGGTGTGTTTACCAATCACCATTTTTTCTACTGTTTTGTTTTACTAGTGTTGAGGGACCACTCTTTTTTTTGGTGGTTTGATGTTCTAGTTTGTGGATTTTTTTTAATCTTTTATTTGTAATAATGATGATTCTTGCACTGAATAGTTTGGGTTATTACTTTGTTTTTTTTTTTTTTTACTATTTTGGTTGTCCTTTTCGTCCACAAGATACGTCTCTTTGCAATTTTTGTGTAGCCTTCGTGCCGTGGGTTTTTCTACATCAATTGATCAGATTTTTCCACTAACTGCGGAGAGTTTGTTAAAGATCCATATGTATAAATGGTTTTTAGGGTTCTTTTTTGGTGATTCCTATTTATAGAGTCTGGTATACATGATTTTTCCTTGAGTTTCATTTGAGTTTAATTGAATTAGTTATTTGCTTGTGCCATATTTTTTATTGTAGGGGCTATGAGTATGAATTGGTATTTGTATTGTCTTTTTATGTCTTGAAATATACCAAATCTATTTCAAAAAAAAAAAAAAACCCTATAATTTTACTTACTATTTTGAAGTCAAACACATGCAAGAGATCCTTCTTGTGTTAATGAAGGGCAATTTCCAGCATTTTCATACTACATAAAAATGATCATGCTTCAATTACACATAAATTCTATTGGAATTTCAAAAAAAAAAAATCAATTTTAAACCAGTTTGATATTATGATTGAGATATTTTTTAGAGAATGTTATGAATTAATTGGGAGAAAAAAAAAATTTAATTACATGGCCCCACTTGATTTCCAATTCCCACTAGGATTGTATAATTGCATATTTTATTACGGAAAATTCCCCACTAGCTTCCCGTAAGAGTTTGGGATTAATCAAATTTTATTGAGTCTGACTCAAAGTGATCATTTATCAAAGAATGACTTTGATTATTAAGTGATTGAACAACCAGGAGTAATTTACTTACGATACTTAGATGATATTTATAAAAAGTATCTAATAAATTATGAGTTCAATACATCTTGTTTAGCAGAAAGATGGATATTCCTTGCTCATTATCAGACAATCACTTATTCACAAACCTCTTGTGGGGCTAATAGTTTTCATTTCCCATCTCATGGAAAATCTTTTTCCTTCCGCTTACCCCTATTCCTTACCCCTATCCCTCTCTAGGGGTATTTTAGTGATAGGTTGAAGTTTTTACCGAACTCTAATTAGAACACAAATAAAGTAAACGTACACGAACCAATCATAAAGTGAAATAGTTTTTGTTCATAAGTTCCTTTTTATGATTATGTAAATCCACTCAAATCAATTCAATAACGAAACAAGTAACAAATCAAAATAATAGATTCATCTCATATATCAAAAACATTTTGGAATAAAGAATTTCTCTTTTTCTTTTTCTTTCAATATCAGACTACTTGTCTTCTTGTAGTTGGATCTCCAAGTTTTTAGATTGCTCCAAATTTCACTTGAGCATCCAAATCTGGGTTAATACCAGCAAAAACATCACTGAATAGGGTTTTAGTACCATGCCAAATGTGTCCAAAGAAGAAGAGCAGAGCAAACAAAACATGTCCGAACCCCACCTACAGAGTAAAATATCAGACTAATGACGTATACAATACTTGGGGGAATTTGCAAGAAAGAAAAGGACACCAAATTTTATTTGAAATAAAAGATAAACAGGGGAGAAGGGAAGCCCCAAGAGTAACATAATTAGGGCTGACAATCCAAGTAGCGACATGACGACACAACTCGAATCCAGCACGAAGTTAGCAGATTTGTATTTAGTATAAATGGGTTTGGGTTATAATCAAGTTGACACGATTAATAAATTGGTTGGGTTAGGGTTGACATTCTAACACAAAGTGACACGATTAACTATATGTGTCATATGTAATATAGTGATATGTGATATAATATGAAAGTTTATATGACATATTAAATACAAATAATGTGAATTTTAATATTTGTAGGTAAAATTCATTTAATTTTCTTAAAAGAAAAGATAAATTGACCAATAAACATGTTAAACTGTCATGACCGTGTTAAATAAGTCATTATTATATTAATTATTTATTCAATATATTAATTAAAACAGGTTATACGGGTTAACACGATTAATAAATATATCGTGTTTGTTTTAACACGTTTAAGAAACAAATCGTATTTAGGTTAATGTTTTCTGACACAATTAATAAACAGGTTGACATAAACACGATCCACTAATACGAATGATCACCCTTAAACATAATGTAATATTCACTATTGCTCTGTAATTTTGGTATAAATGAGTGCTACATGTGATGTGACATTGTGTGGTCAAATGGTGAAAATCAAGGCTGAAACTTATATCCTATAAGTTGTAGTTGGATAAGTGACTTGCGCTGACCGTGTGCCTTTGTGGGTAAATCACCATAAACGTGATAGAAAATTCAACGTTTTTTTTTTTTTTTTTTTTCAAGGACCCTAACTTCACTTTCTTCTTGACTTCCTTGATCTCCAAATGATAGCAGAAGGACTAGGGCAGATTCTGTAGGGAATTTTTGGTGTGGGAATTTCTGGCAATCTGCAAATGATTGATAAAGGTTCATGACTAATTACGTGAATAAAAAAATCTAAAGTTGTACATACAACATGAAGCTAAAATTTAGTTGCATAATAACATTTTATTGTAACTTCAACAGTCTTATATGATTATTTATAGCTAATGGTACTCATTACTAAAAGTAATTTGCAAGATTTCTAAACAAATATGATTTGCCAAAGAAATATACTCATTTTCATGGCATGAATAAAAATCTCCATATTTTCTCACAAATCTATATGGTTAATATTTTAATAGCACTAAAAAGGACAAATATGTCAAGGATACACTTTTCTTTTGTGTAATTATCTTGTCGATTTTTTTAATAATTATAATAATCACTCCATATAAATTGGATTTTTTAGGCCATGTTCATTTCACCAATTCAAGTTTAGAATTATAATTTTGCTATAGTAAAAGGCCTTCAGAAACAATCATATCTAACTTTTTTGCTACAGTAAAAACTCTCATATAAAGTCACATCTCAACTAGAATTAAAAACTCAATCAGCGAACTAAACGGACCCTTAATATGTTAAATTTTTTTTCTATTAATGTGTCGTGTTGAACGCTATTGGTGTCCTGTCTTATTGTTCTTCAAAAAAAAAAAAAAGGGTAGGCAGATAACCAAATACCTAATTGTAAACAAACACATAAATCGGAACACTATCTTACTGTAGTCCAGCGATCTCGATCTGTGAAAAGTCCATGTTGGTTGAACTATTTAGTGCAAGTCCAGCAGCACTGGTCTTTGTCTTTGTCCCTGATGGGGAAGATGGTGATTGCTTGATTGCCAGAACTCTGCAACTGAGGCTGCTTGCTACATCATTGTGGACCATTGCCAGCCTATACCCACATGATCAAATTAAGACGTTGTCTTAAGTTATTTCACTTTGCTTTTTTCTTACCAACACTGTTGCATAATTTTCACAAGATCTAAATATCGAATTTCCCCATATATTAGACCATCGCCAATACAAATGTCAATGCCAACATCGAATTTAATATGAGAAAGTGTGAAATAGTATATTGAATGTATTATTGTTTAGGGAAGTGTGAAATAGTATATTGAATGTATTATTGTTTAGGGACCAATTGAAAATAATCTTGTAACAAAAAGTTTAGTATGTGAAACACAGTACAACTTCAGACAATTCTTTTAAGAACTTGGTATCTTGAGAAAATGCTTGAAAACTTCCTTAAAAGGACAGACTGAATTTCATAGAGGGGACTCAGATAAAACGACTTAAGAAATTACATTGAGTAATATAGGTATGAGCTGTGCATGGGTTACTTTGTCCAAAATGAAAAATGTGCAAAAAGTACAGAAGAATTGATTGTTCAGTGTGAAATGTGGATTGTGGATCCCATTTGCAGCGCCTATGTTTTCGAATTTTCCAATAATTGCCTTCCCACTTGTGTCACATTCTCTATATCCAATTCAAGGAATGCACTAGTGCAGCAGGGTCAAAATTGCGAAAGGTTAAAACGAGAGATGCGTATAAGTTTTCTTTTCAGCAGAAGTCATTAAATGGTCGGAACTTACGACGCATTTCTTAAACATTATATGATGAGCAAATCAATCTGAATCGTTAAAATTTGAGTTGACTTTTATCAGGAAAGGCCCAATAACAAAAGGAAAAAAAAAATTATTGACGGTCTAGATCGATTTGATCACCATTCAATTCCAGAAAAATGTGTTGCACAGCGGTTGGACTCACAAGTTTTGTTAACTAGTGGAAGGAGATAGCCCCATCCACGTGATATTGGAAATCCAACTCCTGATCTAAAATGTCGATCCAAGTACACTATTTCTAGCACAAACCACAACCATTTACCGGTTGGTACTCCTAAGGAAAATAAATCACGTTTAGTTGGAGGATTCAAATTATTTTTAATTTACGTAAATTTTTTATAAAAAAAAATACTGTATTAAACTATAAATTATAATTCAAATTAAAAAGCGAAACCATTTAAGTTTCTGTTGAATAGCAATGCACCACTTCGGTTTGACAACTTGCAAGTACACACTCATCAGAACGATAGATGGGGTCCACTTTTTTTCTTTCTTTAACTGGAAAGGTGGGATCCACTTGTTATAGCAACTTATTACTACCATTGAGATCACCCAATAGTATTGACTATTGAGCCTCACCAATCCAATTATGTATATTTTTTTTAAATCATTTTTGTAACTTACATTTAGAGTAAAGATTCGTATAATAATTTATATCATAATTTGTGACCCATTAAATTATTTTTATTATAAAAAATATATTTAAATTAAAAATAATTTTAAATCATGATTCTATTCATGAATTAAACGCGATCTAATCTTTTACGGTGTATATAAGCCAGATGCCTATTAAAAAAATAAAAAATAATTAAAAAGAAAACTACATGTGGACCCCACTGTTATATTACAACACTAAGTTTTGTGGGTCCGGAGGGGAAGTGAGTCAAGTTGGGGGGTTAACGCCAGGCAATTATATACTGAAAAAGGGGTATCAATTGGATTAATGGTTCAAATTTAAAAATAAATAAAATGGGTTTGTGGCTTATGGTATCTTTAAAAACTACCATAGCAGAAAAGACTTGTTGATAAGTTTGAACTTGGAACAAACATGTTAGAGATAACCTAAACCCATCCGATGGTTGACCAAATTTTTAAAAGAGACCCAAAAATTGCCCATTATTACACACGCCAATTTATCTATCAAAAACACCCCCTCCTTGATCATCAATTAATTCATGCTCATCATAATGCTAGAAAAACACACACAGCCATTAAAATCCCATCACAACAAATCTTAAATCCTGAAAAATAAAACCTCCAAATATTTAATTACTTTTTGGACCATCTCAATCAGAATTTTTATCAATCATTTTTGTGCAAAAACAAACCAATACAAAAAAAAAAGAAACTTACTTGTAAAGAAAACTATGATCATGAAGGCCAACGACAAGAACAGAAGCCCCAATCTCTCTAACAATGGCCGAAATCTTCCTTCCCTCTTGATCGCCCTCCGAAACAACAATCTCAACCTTCGTCTGCATGATCACCAAAACCCTACCACTATTCGCATCAATCATCATAAATATACTCATAAAATAAGAATATATATACACATATATATATATATGTAATTGATTTGTGAGGCCTTACTTACGTTTGAAAAAGTGTTACAAATGTCTTGAAAAGAGAGAGCCAATTGGAAGCCCTTTAATCGGAGCAAGCGATTCTTCTTCTTGCTTTTGGATCTGGATGATGATGAGGAAGAGAATACATGGAGAAGAGTTATGGTGTCGCCATAGCGAAGAAGGTTGTGAAGAGCCCATTGCAGAGCCGTTCTTGCCACTTCCACCTCTTCAACTACTACAACTATTTTCCTCTCATCCATTCACAACTCTCTCTCTCTCCCCCTCTCTCTCTCTAGGAACAAACTTTTTCTACTCTTTTGTGCCTTGGATTTGTCGAAACTACAAAAACCCAAATGAGTTTTTGAGCTCTCTTTTTGATTCTAGAGTCTAGAGTCTAGGCCATTGTATTTTATATGTAGTGGGTTTTGTCCTTGTCATTGTCAATGTCAAGCTTTTGTAATGCTAGGCAAGGAAGAGCCTCAATTAGTTTGCGTGATTAGTTTATTATGGTTAAATTAATTTTGTGGGCCGGTTTAAGAATTGTTTTCTAGTGGTTTGATTATTTTATGGGGGTTCAAATAAAAAATAAATATTTTATGGCCAGTGTTCTCGATTTTTTTTTTCTACAATAACTTATGTGGCAGTTGAGTTTTTATTTTTTTATTACTAAATGTCAGTTTTTAATATTAATTGAGGTAACAAATACGAATATGCAATGCTAGTTTACGGGTATAATTTATCAGTAAATCTAAACATAAAGTAAAATTTTAAATACATTCACCTTAAGTCCAGAAAATATTAGTATATTAGGGGTTCTTGTTAGCAATTTTTTTCATATATATCAACTCACATATAAGGTGTGCTATCATTTTTTATTCGTAAATGTAACTTTTTAATACCGATCGATATGTTATTTTTTTAAATATCAACCAATAAAATATTAGGATTATAATCATAACTACTCCCGAACTATTTACATTGTCTTAAAGTGCCCTATAATTTTTTAAAACAATTCAAAATACCCCTTCATATATTGAATACCAATCAAAATGCCTCTTCCGTCAACTTCCTACTATTATTTTGACGGAATAACTGACTAGGCATATCATTAAAGATTACTAACCTGTAAAAATTAATTCTGATTCTAATTAAATTTATAAAAATAAATTTAAAAAGAAACACTCATAATTTCAAAAAAACAAAAAAAAACAAAAAAAGAAACCCTCATTTAATTTTAACCCTTGATCTATACAATCCAATCTCAGTCCTTGATTTCGGTAAGACTTAAGATGAAGAAAACCCTAGGAATATCAGCCCCCTTTACTGCCGCCCATGCCCTCCATGAGCGCTGCCTTCATTCTCCACCAAAGCCCACGGCTGCTCGACCTTCTACCTCTTCTGATGAGCCCCGTAAGTAGCAAATCTTCTCGAAGGGAGGGGGCCGGTAGATTGGGTTTGGAAATCGCTCAAAAAAAGAGGGGGAGGACGAAATCGTGTTATTTGGCTCGACGTCAGAATGTCTGCTGGAGAAGCTTGGGAGGGACTATTGCAATGACAGAGGGCTTGTGGGAGGATCCAGGTGCGCGCAAATGGCAGATAGACTCTGATGCTCACAATGGTGTTCCAGCGTGCTTGTATTGAGGTCGGAGCGCGACAACAATGAGGATGGGATGGGCGGCCAGTAGGGAATGGGGGTGTGATGGAGCGGCAGAGAATGGTGTTCTAGGGTTTTTCTTTTCAAATAAATTTTTAGATGAAGGGCTCATATTGTTTTTAAGGAATCAAGGGCTCAGATTAAAGATGATTTAAATTAGTGGTTGACATTAAATTGGGGTGTTTTCTTAACATTTATTTTTTATATTCTTTTTACTAAGAGAATTAATTAAAGTCTTAATACATTTAGTTAATAGCTAATGAGATGTCATGTAGCTATTCCGTCAAATTATAATATACGGAAGTCGACGGAGGGGGAATTTTAATTCGTTTTTAATATATCATGAGATATTTTGAACTATTTTAAAAAATTAAGGACACTTTGAAATAAAGTACATAATTTGAGGGGTAATTATAAAAATAATTTAAAATATTATGGACAACTCACCATGTGAGTTAGAATTAAAAGTTGAGTTAGGGATATTTTTTTGGAAACACGTATTACCGCAATTGATATTAAAATGTTTCAGACCTTAGTATCGATTTTATTTTATATATATAGTAATAGAGGTAGAATAGATTGGTGGGAATTTCTTAGGTTTGTGGAGTTATAAAGACCTTTGACCTTGGCGAGGCATGGCACATTATTGCCAGCTTTATTATCAGCTCATGATTTGGTTATGATATGATGTGATTGTGATTTTGAAGTGGTACAATTTGGCCATGTTATTTAGTGATTGAAAAAGAGGGTCGTGCTTGTTTGTGGGTTTATGGTCCTGTAGAGGGGAGATTCGTTTTATATTTTATTTTTTGATTTCTTTTTAGGTTTTCTAGGGAAAAAAATTTATATTATCGAAATGGAAATGCAGATAATAATGATGTATGGCATGAATATAAACAATCGAAATTAAATACTAATTATGAGAAACTTTGAGTTAGAAATAACGTCAAAACCTCATAAGTTGTGTCCCAAACCAATTTATAATCCCATAATGCGTATTGTGCCTCAATCCATTCATAATATTAAAACACAACATTTAAAGCAATTATCTTGATGATATAAATATTGAAGAAAACGTCCATGTAATATTCTAACCACTGTTTTAAAAAAAAATAGTGTCATTTACACTACATTTGCTCTCATAAAACTTGGTAAAAATAAATCTCTTTTAACTTGACTGTTATTTACCAATCATGTATGCATTACTTTTAGTGGACTACTAGCTAAAAAAAAAAAAAAAAAAAAAAAAGTACCAATAGTTACTACAAAATGTGCTTTACACGCCTCTTTGTTACCATCTATATGAGAAACAAAAATGCACTCATGAAACGACACTTGTCAAAACCAACGCAATCCGCATTTAACTTATACATTTCTTTTGAGAGCTACACGTATATATTATTTAAAAAAGATGAAATATATGCATATTTCCTTTTCTTTTCTTAGGTAGACAAATACATGCATTTTTTTAAGGAAAAAATATATGCATTTGGATACTCCGCATAGAAGCTGATGATTGTGTATATATATTAATATAAAAATATATATTATATTATATATATATATATGCAACCCACGTTATTGTGACAGCAATCTTCTTTTAAAAAAAAAAAAAGGGAGCAAACATCAGTGGCTGGCGTTGTCGTTTTCATTTTATTATCAATTCGTATGGTTCTGAAACTATGACGAAAGAAAGCAACCGGGTCGTATGGCCAATTCTGGGTTTTCTGTCGTTTGGCAGTTTTCCGTTTGTCCTCTTTCTTATTGGGGGTTCCGAACAGGGCACTAACTTTGAGGGTCGCTTTCATTAGATAAATAGATAAGATGAAACTATAGGAAACATATAATAAAGTTTAATCCTTTTTCATGAAAAAAAAAAAAAAAAAGGAATCGTTATGAGTCTTATGACTAATCATACCTCTTCATCACTCGTGTGTCTCAGGCTCCGTTTGTCCTCTTTCTTATTGGGGGTTCCGAACAGGGCACTAACTTTGAGGGTCGCTTTCATTAGATAAATAGATAAGATGAAACTATAGGAAACATATAATAAAGTTTAATCCTTTTTCATGAAAAAAAAAAAAAAAAAGGAATCGTTATGAGTCTTATGACTAATCATACCTCTTCATCACTCGTGTGTCTCAGGCTCTTTTTTTTTTTTTTTTTTTTTTTTTTTTTTTTTTTTTGTTGGGAAGAACAGAGAAAAATTATGAATAGAAATTACCTTATGGTATCTATTAGAAAAGGCAGAAGTTATCTTTATTTGTAGGCTGTTTTTGATATTATGCATTTTTCGTCATTAAAACATATTTTATTATTATATTGAAAATTACATATAGATAAATTTTTAATAGTTATATTTTCATCGGCGGTTATCATTAAATTTATAAATTTAATTACGTGGTGTAATAATAATTTAATTTTATTGAATTGTCATATTTTTTTAATCAATTATTCAATTTATTACAATCGTTAGATCAACATTTTACGACTAAAATAATGATACTTATTGATAAATAAATAATGAAATAACTATTAAAATCATAATATATATATATA